CGCCTTCCATTTCCTTGATTGACGCCACTTCAGGTACAAAGGCCGTGTTATCGCGAAATCGGTCCCTTTCTTCGTCTTCTGAAATGCTTAACTTACGTGGGAGCTTTCAACCAGGATTGCTACTATCAGGCTTTATTTGGGAAGCTTCACTGTCCCTTTAAAAGCATCTGCTTCTTGAAATTGCTTCTGTATGTTATCGTCGGATTGTTAAAGGGTATACTCACCCTAGAGGAATTAATTTCAGCACACATATTATGAATAGCTTCTGGCGGGTAGCCAAAGAAGCGATGTAATATTCTGACGAGGGGAGGGGGGCGTTTACAAAGAGGTCATTGTCCTCACAATTGTGAGATTTATAATTGAGTTGAACACTTGAGTATTCTGATGACGCACTTTTTGCCCCGGCATTTTGGAATGAAAGGCGAGTGCGTGGGCACTCTAAAAAAGGCTAATTAACGCCAAGCGATCTGTTTTGTGATGGTGGGGTTAGCCTCCCGAGCTTGGGTATAGGAACACGTTTACACGCTACGGAACATTTCTCTTACCGTCATCTAAGCAAAATCCGATGATAGCGTCGGCTTTCCTGACGAGATCACCGCTAAGCGACCGCGCCTTCAAAAAGCACACAGCACTCTCTTCTAGCCATTCGTAGGCGAAACACGATGGATCGTCACGGCACTCCAGGGCACATCTGAATTCGTAGTTGAAGTTTTTAGCCCCCCTTAGTAGAATAATGCGTCGACTCACCCTCTGTTATTCATATTTCGAAGTCGGCGATATTCGCTGCCGTCGATGCTCAGCCCTTTCTCGGTGTTGAAACATCTGCCTGGAATTTCTATACACAGTGTTTAGCAATTATATATGGAACGGAAGGGAATATGGGAACGCTTCGAATGGTGGTATTACCATGTCTAACAGGGCACATCATTCGTTGGAGATTTCGGTTGAGTCCGTGCGACCCCCTCCTGGGGGGGGGGGGCTTGATGCGATCCTCCCTCCTAGTTGCCTCCTCTGATACAATCGAGCTGTCGAGGGAGGCAGGGAAACAACAACAATCAGCTATCAAAAAATTTTTCTGAGACCAAATACGACCCCACTCCTCCCAGCGACCAAATGCGACTCCCCTTGTCGGGGAATCTCCAACGATGATGTGCCCTGATATCTGATGATCAGGTCAGAAATCGAACCGTGCTGAAGCCATTGAGACATTCTGTCTGCCACCATCGCGGATTACGAAACTTGCCTAGAAAACACTGACTGAACTGCCTCCGGCTTTCGCAAGTCATTATCTAATGCGATTCACATTCAGTGCCTTTTACGATCCTGAGTGAATTTAAAATTGTGACGCATCTCAGAGGACTAGCCGATCACGTCATTCCCTAATTTGCCCACGGACCATAGCAATCTCATTTTTGTTTCTGCATCCGTTGATTGTGATCTCTGGTGTACCTGCGAATGACCTGAACGCTGCAGTGGCCCATTTTGTATGCCCTAATAGCCAGCATTCTGAAGGCGTGAAATTCACGGTTGACAGGAGACCTTTTAGAGAACTTCCTGTGTCGTATGCGTTGGCGGAGGAATCAGGAAGCAGCTGCGACACCAAATGTCGGGTCCTGTGCGTGCAGGCGTGATGCATGAGGTCAATCACATCACAATCGTGGAGCGCGTTCGGAAAGAGCGTACACCAAAAACGCTTAACCGGTGGTTAATGACTGGATTACTACTTACTCATAGTTTACCACATGGCTCATGCTATTTCAGGGAACAAATCTGATGATCCGCGTTATCCTATTAATCTCTAAAGTGAATTATTCCTATATTTTCTCGTCGATCCGCGAGCATGGACACACGCAACGTAGCTGAGTGGAGGTACTGGATTTTGCTTCGGGAATGAGCAGAACCCAGAACCCTGTCAGCTAACTGGTTATCCGACATATAAAAAAGTAACACTGGTTTGGGTGACGTCGGTCTCCCAGTCACTCCCACGCTTACGAATACGACTCGTGGTGGCCGCACCACATCCGAAATGAGTCACGCGGAAGTGATTCTTAATTTAGAATGGGCAGGCGTTCGCAAAAGTAATTCATCCATGAGGGTTTACCAAGCAGAAAAGTCTTGTTACAGACTTTAATTTCATGCAGGACACGTCCTGGTGCATGGGAATAATTTCGAAAAGGAGCCCCTGATATCCTCCCCTAATACGACCCCCTTCCTCGTCCTGCCTAACACTTTCCTGGATCAGGGCACATCACTGATGGGTGATTTTGTACGAAGTACAACCGCCCCACCCCGTTCACCATACCAGCCACCACGTCCTTAGATATCCCCAACTTCCTACCAATTTCAGTACTCCCGGATTTCTCGAGGATTTTCCTACCTTTCCCCAAAATTGTGCGAAAGTGGAAATATATAGTACATGTGAAACAGGAAAAACCATAAAAAGTCAACAATCTTCCGGACGGAAGGTAAATACGACCCCCGACCCCCTCGCAGCGTCCCTGAGGCGAAGAATCGACTATCAAAAAAATTTTCCTTGACCAAATATGGTTCGCCGTTCCCCAGCGACTAAGCACGACCCCCTACTGAAAAATTCCCAACGAATGTGCCCTGTCCGATTTTCCCAATTTCCTACCACTTTTTCCAGTTTTTCCGGAATTTCTCGGGAATTTTCTGGTTTCTCTCCAGAATTTCCCTGTCAGGCGGAGGGCCGGCCGGCATAACTCCACTTCATATTGCCGTGGTACCTAGTACATGCGAAACAGAAACACAGCGAAAAGTCAACAAGCGGGAAAAGCTTTCCCCAATGCCGCAAATCTCTCTTATAAGCAAATACGAACCCTTCACCAAATACGAACCCGCACCGCTGAGAATCCCTCAGCGTACGACATGGTCTGATTCCATGGTTTCCCTCTGACTAAATTTTCACCTGAGCTCATGAAGCATACAAAAAGCTTACGTCACGCGATGTTGATAAGGAATGCTTGCGTCATTTCCTTGTGCAGTCACACACAGGACTAATTTTGTATAATTCAGTGAATAAAAATGTACTGGGCAATATGAAGTAGAGTTATGCAGTACTCAAGGACAACAGGATATAAACTTAAGCACAACTTACCGAAAGTTTCGCCACTGGATATCATCGACATGAACAGCACAATTGGGTAAAATACCCGAATGGCCGATACCAACGGGGCAGTGCTGTTACCGAGAATGGTGATAGATTCGTTGGTTTGTAACGGTTTCGCAGTTACCAAAGATTCCATGCAATTCTGAAAAACCAAATTTCAGCACTAAGAACATGGCATTAGTACTTTCGAGGCAGGGAAAGAATGCCTCCCGAAATTCCAACAAGAGCGAATGCCTACACCTTAAAAAATTCCTATGACGTAAT